AACTTAAAAATCTTTAATTTTTGCTTATTATACAATGTTTGGGTAAAATATAAGATTTTATACTAAATCTCCATCGTAAAGGGCAAACTTTGGGATGTTTTCATGAGCGATAAGCCAAACTGCCGACGCGATGTATACTATCAACAGGGTGCCAGGAAATTGTGTCAGTTGTGAGGTATCGTATTTCAACATTCATGTGAATTGTGAATTCCGCGCAGCACAACGATCGTAAAAACAGGGGCGGATCTAGGGTAAGTCCAGTCAGTCGCGCAAACTTGCGTATTTTTTGCAGTAAAAATGATAATTAAATATTCAAATTTGTCTTGAAATATGAATAATTAACCTCCTTCAAGATTATAATAAGAATTACAATCATAGTCCAGTTTAAAGGGTTGATTTGTGGGGTGGCCGGACTGATTTGCACCTTAACCGGGCCAAATCAGCCCATTTCTTGCATTGCGATTGGTCAGTTTGAATTTACCAGACTTATCTCGACTGATTTGCGGGGTGGCCAGACTGACTTAATCGGGGTTCGATTGCTCTGTCTTCAGAATGATAAAAATGCAAATGAAGCCAGGCTCTCTACTTCCAATATTCTGTTATACAAAGGATTAGAACTTTATTGTTAGAAAATTGTTTTATTACACGGACATTCGAAGCAGGATTTTACCAAAATAACTGGCTCTTGATAAACTTTATCGTGGAGCAGCGATTTCATGCGCGCAACTTGTTGATGTTAGACTTCAATAGACGAGGGAATTAATCACGATATCCCTGTTGAATATGAAAACTAAGACTGTGTTGGTAAGAGAAACATTTAAAATGGATATAATATAAGAAATATAGCAATATACCTAAAAATATAATGATTTAGGAGTGTTCCATGCGACAAGTTCGTTCACAGTTATTGATTTCATGCTGCTTTGTTGTGTATATAAAACCTGATCAATTATCAATATAGTTTATATCTCATAATCTTCCTAGTTCATATGCTCATAATATTATGGTTATAAAACCTATCCAGTCGTAAAATGCACTAGAATGGATAAGCCTACTTACTCAACAGTCAACACTCGTTAGAGTGTTTGATAATTTGCATTATATTGAAGTTTGCGATGCATATTATAATATTCACGACTATTTATAGCATATTATGTTTGTTATGATTAGCATGGTTTTGTGAAGTTCTTGCACGCCTAATGCATCTTACACAAAGCAATGGAAATATTTCTGTTTATTTTTTTGGATCATATTGTTTAATTTGTGTTAAATCAACTCTTGCTATCATAAGGAGGTCATATTTGGGAGTACAAAGTTGTGTGTTTTGAAAAATGACCCTCGCCAGGTCTGTTAATAAGCGGAATCTAGTATATCTTTCATGGGCATTGTGATGAACCCTAAAATGAGCCGAGATAATAAAAATTCCACTTTGCCGATTTGAAAAATTTTCTCAAAATTTCCCAATTTGGACTTATGTTTGAAAAATCCTAGATCCGCCCCTGCGTAAAAAGGCTTATTTTAGGTTTGCAACCATGGAAAAAGATAAGGAACTCGATACTCAGCATTTAGAAAGCTTTTTTTCGCCCTTTCAGGATGATTTAGAGCGGACAATAGCGCTTCTAGAATTGGATGTGGATGAGGTTCAAGTTGAAGTTGAACAAGCCATTGAAGAAGTATGAAATATAAAAGGAAGACAATGATACCTATTTTATACATATATTATTGTAAGCTAAGATATTTACCTAATGTATATTTGTTCTTAGGATGCATTGTCTCTAGGTTGAAGGAAAGAAATTGTTTCCTTGCAATTTCTGCGAGAAAGTGTGCAAATCCAAAGGTGGCCTATCAAGACCCCAACACAGTAAACATATGTAGCAGAATTGGGCGAGGGATCCTCTAGGCAATCAGATGAAACATTGATATCAGAAGAAAAAGTGTGTGACTTAATATGTGATATTGGTCGACACTCGGTTGATGAAAAACTGTATAGAAAGGAACATACAGCAGAAGTATTCAAGCTTCAACCAAGCAAGTCGTTTGTTACTTTTGCCAGTCAACTGTTGATGAAATTTAAAAGGAAGAGAAATCAGGACAAATTGCTAAAAGAGTTTTATGGAAATACGAATTCAAACTGGAGAGAAGATTTTCATCTATGTGACAATAAAAAAGTTGTGTTTTTAATGCTTATTCATCTCCCAGAACGCCTGATTGGGTTACTAAAGGAAAGGCAAGATGACCACGGACTATCTGACTCTAAGGTATGGTTATTTATTTTATAGTTACCAAGAAATCTACATTTGACTATGCTGTATATATATAACCCCAAATGTATGTATAACCCCAAATGAGGTTACCATATATAAGATATGGATAGACTAGTGCATAATAAATTAGTTTTCGGGAATTAATGTTTATGTAATGACGGATGACTTGCCTTGATGGATTGTAATTGCGGTTTACTGAACAACTCTTTCTGCTCTATAATCATGTCTTTGAGAGGCTCGCTGATTGTCCGTGAGGCATGGTGCTCATCATTCGCGATTGTGACTGGATTGATGATATTCAGACCCCCGCAATGTATAGGTAACGAAATGAGTTTCCTTTCATCGGGATTACATGGTCCCCTTCCGGTTAATGCCGGTATAAAAATTTGATTGATGGTGTCTTCTAAAGGCTGGAAAAGTTTATCAATATTCTCGACTGTCCGCATTACATAGCGCCATTTACCTATAATACAATGTGAAAAAGCAGCATACGCAGATTGAGGGTAACGCTCTGCTATTTTGGCAAGACTTTCAATTTCGTTCACAAACAATTCGATCTTTTTGGCGGCAAACTGTTCTGTAAAATGACTTAAACCAATTGCTGATCCGAGCATTTTGTGTCCTTCAGTAATAACTTTGATTCCTGTTCCATCAAAAACCTTAATTGCTTCTTCTTCAACCTGCTGTTTCACTACGAGATGTGTCTTGCTTGCACTCGGAAAGTATCCCATCTGTGGACCGATAGATTGCAAACATTGCCACTATCTTCTTAAAGATACGATTTTTCCACCTGCTGAAGAGTCATCTGCAAACCATACTTGTTTAACCGTTGGTTCTTTTGATCTCAGCTTACGAATTAAGGGTGTTATCGCAAGAGCATACATAGCCATGGCTAGGGGATCTCCTTGGGTAATTCCTTCCGATGATTCAATTTCTCCCTCTCTCGTAACAAATAGTCGAACTGGTGTTTGATAGGTATTATTTAGCACTGTTGATATGGAGGGACACATTACTCCGATGTTATGTAATGCAGCCTGTCTATTAATTGTGTTAAAAGCATTGCTGGCATCTACTAATAACACTGCTTCTGTTTCATCGAATGACATGATCTCCTTCATGGCGTGAATTGCTGCTTCACATCCCGCTTCGTGACCTGCACATGCTTGTAGTGGCCCCACAGCCTCCTGAACATCATTCCCAACCACCTTGAGGATCGACTTTGCTATTATACGTCTTGGGACTTCACCAATGCCAATGGGTCGAACTTCTGGATTTTTATCAAGTGGTATGAGTCGACAAGCCACAAAAGCAGATAAACCCTCTGAATTGACAGGAGGAGGTGCACAGACGACGAGCTACCCCAGGCAGTGCATTACACAGATCAACCGAAGCACTTTTGAATGACGAGCAAAAGCGACGCCATGCATATGCATCAACTCCTGAGGGACCAGCTGCACCTTGTGTGTTGTTTGCCGCGATCTTTATTTCTTCCCCGGTTATTCTTTCAAAAATAATTGGATCATGATGTACGTCCTCAATATCCGACACTGTTAAAAGTGTTTCTGCAGCAGGGGCGCAATTGTGGGGATGCTTCACGCGTTGTTTTCCATTCTGTATCGCTGTTTTCGTTCTCTCCGACAGGAATTAGCGAGTCTATGTTTAATAGACCCCCTCTATTTGCATTAGAAATCAATTGAACCGCTTGTCTTGTCTTTCCTTGTAGCATGAGACGATTAAATCCTCTTGCAATCTTTTCAAATTCCGGTTCTGCTTTTCTACTCCTGCTAAGATGTTTTTGGATGCACTTTCCTTCCAAAATTAGCTTGTCAATATTACCCTCCGTCCACAGGGCCATCCTACGTTCTAAACACGCTATATGTTCCTTTATTTTGCTTTTAGCATGAGGCTTTTGTAATAGCAAGCTCTGCATGACTGAACATGCTTTTAAACCAATGCATTCTAAAGGGGAATTCTCTGCATAGGATTGATATAATCTAGCTAGTTCTGAGATAAAAGCTTTTCCGGCTTTCCCAGATGGTAATAGAAAAATGTTTTGCCTCCATTTTACAATTTGTTCATAAGCTGCATTTATACGTAGAATAAAAACTTCGCCACTGAGATCGCCCCATTTAAACTGACTCTGTATGTTAATATGTACGGCTGAGGACTCCTGATTTGCATTTATTACTTCCTCGTTTATGTTGATAACTTCACGGACTGCTATATTTTCGTGTAGATCTTGTCCTTGACTTTCGTTTATTAATTCATCAGTAATTTCAATTTCATTATCCACGTTCGCCTTGACATCATGTTGCTTGTTTTGTTCTCGAGACTTTATTACTTGAGCTGCTTTATCTCTTAAATTTTGTGCTGTTAAACCCAGTGGTGCATATCCTTTCTCTTCCCACAACAGCCGCATTATTTCCATATAGCCTTGCCGTCATTTATCTCGGCGGTTCCGTTCTTCCAGAGCTCTTTCTCTGCAAACTATAAGATCTGATATCATTTCTTCCGTCCATTTAATCCGCTTAGTTGTTACATTTCGTCGTGTTGCTGGCATCTTGCGTATAAATATTGCAGGCGTATCGACTTAACACTGTTGAGTATTATTCCCGAATCGCTTCAACTTTTTACAATGTCTATTGATTCAGTTTAAACAAACGTAGCTAGAATTATCTTCTAAAGACTTATACACAAGTCATACTCTGTTTGCAAAACTTTTATAAAGCTGCCAGCTTAACGAAACGGCAAAACTTTCTGCTCTGGAATTATATTAGTGCTAATACCATCATATCCAGAACTCTTGTTTGATTTCATATTTTTTAGTTCTTCTTCAAGTTCAAAACAGGGGCGGATCTAGGATTTTTCAAACATAAGTCCAAATTGGGAAATTTTGAGAAAATTTTTGAAATTGGCAGATCGGAATTTTGATTATTTCGGCTCATTTTAGGGTTCATCACAATGCCCAGGAAAGACATACTCGATTCCGCTTATTAATTAACAGAGCTGGCGAGGGTCATATTTCAAAACACACAACTTCGTACTCTCATATATTATCCCCTTATGATAGCAATAGTTGATTTAACACAAATTAAACAATATCCTCAAATAATACAAACAGAAATATTTCCATTGCTTCGCGTAAGATGCATTAGGCGTACAAGAACTTTACAAAACCATGCTAATCATAACAAACATAATATGCTATAAATAGACGCGAATATTATAATATGCATCGCAAACTTCAGTATAATGCAAATTCTCAAACACTCTAGCGAGTGTTGAGTAAGTAGGCTTATCCATTCAGACCGTTCTAGTGCATTTTACGACAGGATAAGTTTTATAACCATAATATTATGAGCATAGGAACTACTAGGAAGATTATGATATATAAACTATATATTGATAATTGATCAGGTTACACAACAAAGCGGCATGAAATCAATAACTGTGAACGAACTTGTCACATGCATGGAGCACTCCTAAATCACTATATTTTTAGGTATATTGCTATATTTGTTATATTATATCCATGTTAAACGTTTCTCTTACCAACACAGTCTTTCATGTTCAGCAGGGATATCGTGATTAACAAATTCCCTCGTCTATTGAAGTCTAACATCAACACAGTTGCTCGCATAAAATCGCTGCTCCATGATAAAGCTTATCAAGAGCCAGTTATCTTGAAAAGTCTGCTTCGAATGTCCGCGTATTAAAATAATTTTCTAACGATAACGTTGTAATCGTTTGTATAACAGAATATTAGAAGTGGAGAGCCTGGCTTCGTTTAATAATAAATTTTGTAATGTTATCATGAAGACAAAGCGATCGAACCCGTTTAAAGTTCAAGTCAGTCCGGCCACCCCGCAAATCATTCGAGATAAGTCCGGTAAATTCAAACTGACCAATCGCAATGCACGAAATGGACTGATTTGGCCCCCTTAAGGTTCAAATCAGTCCGGCCACCCCACAAATCAGTCGAGATAAGTCCAAATGGCTTATCGACCAATCAAATGAGCCGGCTGACCCACCCGATTCTGCGAGTTTTTTGCGTTTTACCGCTGCTCTGAATAAAAGAATATTGCTTTTTTGAAACTGAACCCTTTAAGCTGGACTATGACTTTAATTCTTATCACAATCTTGAAGGGGTTAATTATTCATATTTCAAGATAAATTTGAATATTTAATTATCATTTTTACTGCCAAAAATACGTAAGTCGCGCGACTGACTGGACTTACCCTAGATCCGCCCCTGGTTCAAAATCAGTGATAGGATTAAGAAAGAAACTAGATTGATAATTATCTGTAAGATATTTATCAAAACTGTTATTGTCATTCTGTTGAATTTTTTTGGCTAAATTTGGTCTGATGTTGGTAAAGTAGTCATTGAATTTGTCTGCTATTTCTTTTCGGTCATGAATTATATTTGAACTTGAGTCAACAAAAGTTTTCGATACTGCAGTATTTTTCTTAGGCTTGTTTAGTAGTTCATTTAGTGTTTTCCATATCATTTTAGAATTTTGCTTGTGTTTGATTAACTTCTCATAATATGTCTGTTTTGCTAGTCTAATAATATGGTTTAATTTATTTTTGTAGCTAATGTATGTTTGTTTATTTTTTTCATTTGGAATCTTAAGAAAAGATTTGTACAGTTTATTTTGATTTCTAACAGATTTTAAAATAGAGTTAGTTATCCAGGGACTTTTGTTTCTATCAATTGTTCCACTATTTTGTTTTCTTTTTAATGGAAAATTAACTTCATACAAACCAAGAAACAATTCTAGAAACTCATTATATGCCTTCTCTGGGTTGTTTGCTTCATTTAATATTTCATCCCAGGAAGCATTTTTGATTGCTTTAGAAAAATTATTCATGTTAACATGATTATAAACTCTTTGATAAATTACAGTATTTGCATTATCAGTATTTTTCCCAAATAAATCTGAGTTAAACATATGAAATATAGGCAAGTGATCTGAAATATCACTAAAAATAATACCATTCAAACTATTATTAAAATCTTCAATATTATTAGTGAAGATGTTGTCAATAAGAGTGGCCGTATGACTTGTAATCCTAGTAGCTTTATTAATAAGAGGGAAAAATGAGGATGTAAATAATTGTTCAATAAAGTTACCAGCATAATCACAAGATTCTGATTTAAAAAGATCAATATTAAAATCTCCCATTAAGTAGCACAGTTTGTTTTCTTTGTCAACCTTTCCTAAGAATTCATTCATTGCATTTTGAAATGTATCAAAATTCCCATTTGGTGGTCTATAAATAATCCCAATAATGATATTTTTACCACTTGTATTTATTATTTCAATAAACATGGCTTCAATTATATCTTCTAGATTTTTATTTAAGTCACTCCGATTTTTATATTCGATTTGTGTTGAAACATACATGCCTACTCCTCCGCCTCGTTTTCTTGGCCTGTTTGAACCTAAATATTTGTAATTGTTTATGTTAAAATCATCCTTGTTGTTTTCGTTCAACCACATTTCAGTTAAACCTATTATCTGAAAAGGTATATTTAGAGTGTCTAGTAAACTTTTAAAGGAATCAAATTTATGAAAGGGAAAATTTTGAAAGGGAAAATTACTGTTATAATTTATGGTAATCATACGTTGTTCTACCTTAATGTGCTTTTGAGAAAAATATTATACATTTCTATAAAAATGACTAAAAGTTGAAATCCTTACTGTAATCTTATACCATTGAGCTTGGTTCCATCTATAAATAACTTGTCTCTTACTAGCTTTGCCTTTTTGCCTTCTTCTCTCGCTTTTTTCATCTCTGGATACAATCGTTTTCGTTCCTTAACTATTTCTTCCGGGTACTGCTGAGATATAGCGAACCTGGTACCTTTTAATTTTCTTGCGTTGGCTAAAACTCGCTGCTTGTCTGGGAAATAATTAAATTTCGCGACTATAGCACGTGGTCTTGTCGAGCGGCTGGCTTCACGGCTTTTGGTTTTTCTTCCAATCCTGTGTGAAAGGTCAATTTTAATCGACTTCGCATCTTCAAATCCCCAAGTTATTTTGGATTAAGTTTTGAATGATCTCGGTAGTGTTTTCTTCATCGTTTTCATCCAAGTTGTAGAATATTAAGTTATCGCGCATTGACCTTGCTTGAAGGTCAATGACGCGATTTTTTAATTCAACATTCGTCTTCTCTAGCTTTTCCACCTGCTCTTTCATTTCGTCTTCATTTTTCTTTAAAACCATATTTTCCTCTTTCAGATCTTTGATTTCCGCGTGAACGAACTCAAGAGAGCTCGTGACTTCTTTTAATTCCTGCTCCATGTTTTCCAATTTTCCCTTGGAAGCGTGTGGTCTGGACGCCATCTTGCTATCTCACCAAGAATCTACGGTTCAACCCAAAGAGAACATGACGAATGATTGCATGCAGTTCTCCACCATCTCAATTCAGCCAATGTCACATTAAATCTTGAAAAGTGTGCCTATAATACCACATGCATCAAATTCCTCGGTCAAATTATCAGACCAGACAAAATCAAGGCAATAAACAATATGCCACCCCCAAAAAATATACACGAAGTACAACCATTCTTAGGAATGGTCAGTCAATTTACAAACTTGATAAGCAAACAAATCAATGACTTACTAGTAAAAGATACCACTTGGATGTGGGGTCCAGCACAAAAACATAAAAAATGATGCTGATGCATCATCAAACAGAAACGGATGATGTGAGGATGGTATTGTCTTCCAAATTTTGGAGTTGCTAACAGTTTCCTTTGTTGGTCCCAGAAAACTTTCATATCGGGTGTTACTTCTTTATCACTATTAGCTAGAATTGCTAAAATATCCTTCTCCATCATCTGAAGATAACTTTGCAACCACGTGAATTATTCTAATATTTATCATAACTAATACACCTTTTGCCTGTTGTTAAATGAAAAAAGAATGACATGAAAGTAATTTAAAATCTTCGAAAATACCAGTTGGATTTATATAGAGCATATCTGAATCGAGATTCGCGGGAAAAATAAAAACTGTAGTATATTACTTGGCGTATTATATCAACCAGATTCTGAGCTGACGAAAAAAACTATTTGGGTTGAAAAATTTGATACTGTCCTAACTGCAATTCACTCAAAATGGGATGGTATTGTTGTCATTGCTGGCGACATTAACATTGACTTGGAAAATCCTTCAACCATAGCAACGAAATATCAATCAGTTTTACAGTCATTTAATCTTACCCAACATATAAAAGTGCTACTCGAAAAGGTAAATGGTTAATCGACCATATCATTACAAATATTCCACAAAATATTATAACCTCGGACGTACTTCCTACTCCAGAAGTGAGCGATCATGACATGCCGTATTCGGAATAAGATTAAATCAGCAATCAAAGCAGCGAAAAAGGAATTTTATACCAAAGCTCTCATGTCAAAGCGCTCAAAAGAAGTATGGGCAGTTATTCATCGAATACTGAATCCAAGTAAAAAAAGGATTAGGTATGACCCAAACGAACTAAATAAGTTTTTTGTAACTACTTCACAACGTATTATTGGGCAAGATTCTTGTCAAACATCGGACATTCTTACATATATTAACTCTATACCAGAGGTAACAAGGGACGCTGGTTTCGTGTTACAAGAAGTAACCCTCTATCAAGTGAATGAACAGTTAAAACGTATTAGAAATGATTGTTCAACTGGCCATGACCACCTACCTGTCAAGTTTTTGAAAATGGCCTCAGAATACATCGTCTCTCCGCTGACACATATTATAAATGAGTGTATTTCCAAACAAAGATTTCCAGTTTGCTGGAAAATCGGTCGAATTAGTCCGATCCCAAAAATTTCTAATCCCAAAAATAGCAGTGATTTTCGACCCGTGTCAATTCTGCCAATATTATCAAAAGTACTTGAACGACTAGTTTTATCCCAACTTGTTACCTTTATTGAAGAGGAAAGTCTCTATAACGAGACAATGTCTGGCTTTCGCAAAGGCCATTCTACTTCTGCGGTTTTGTTAAAGTTTAAAGATGACATCCTAAAAGCGATGAAGAAAGGGGAAATAACACTTGCCGTTTTCACCGATTACTCGAAAGCGTTTGACACAGTCGATTTTCAAGTAATGCTAAATAAACTTTACCGACTTGGTTTTTCCAAGAAGACTTTACATTGGATGTATAACTACCTAACAGGCAGAAAGCAATTTGTCCAGATTGACGACAGAAAGTCAAAGTTATTACCTATAACGTTTGGAGTTCCACAGGGATCGATCCTTGGCCCTGTTTTATTCAATTTATATATGACTGATCTCCAGGATGGAAAATCTGACTGTAATTATTTGCAGTATGCAGATGATACGAACTTATACAAGCACTGTAAGGTCAAGGACCTGGATAAATGTAGTATCGCTATTGAAAATGAGTTGGCTAGAACGTATGGTTGGTCGACAAGCTCGAATCTGCTCCTTAATCCTACCAAGACTAAAACTATGCTTTTTTCAACAACCCAAATGTCAACTTTTCATAACTTGTCTTCTGAAAATCTTGTGAGAATAAAAGTTAATGATCAATATATCGAATGTAAAGAATCCTGGAAAGTACTGGGCGTTAAATTCAATGAACATCTGAAATGGAATTCGCATTTAAATGATCTAATAAGATCATGTTATGCAACCTTAGCGTGCCTGCGACGACTAAAACGATATGCACCATTCCCTTTGAGAAAACAGCTAGCTGAATTGTTGGTCCTATCTAAATTGGACTACTGTAATTGCCTTTACGGATCCCTACCTGATTACCTTTTAAAACGATTGCAAAAAGTTCTGAACGCATCTGCGAGCTTCGTTAATGGTAAGTTTTCGAGAATTGCGGATGTGATATCACTTGGTTGGTTACCAGTGTATGAACGCATCCAATACGGTATTGGGAAGTTAACATTTCAAGCGTTAAACGATGGCCGACCTATCTGACTCTGAAGACTAGGAAAACCACTAGAGAACTGCGAAGTAGCAGTGATGGAATACTGAGACTTGAACACTCGAGCATTGAGGACTCTTTTCAATACAACGCAGCTAAATTATTTAATGGTTTACCTGATAATTTAAAATGTATGGATTCTAAAAGTTTTAAGTTAGCTCTAAGAACACACTTATTAGCGAGTACCAGAGAACGATATAATTAAAATATTGCATGTATTTTGGCTTATTATAAATATTAATTGTACATATTACTAATTTTACTAATATTAATTATTGGATGAAGGGCCATGTAATGTGGATATGCCTATTAAAACCTTTATTATTATTATTATTATCATCATCATCATCATCATCATCATCGTCATCGTCATCGTCATCGTCATCGTCATCGTCATCGTCATCGTCATCGTCACCGTCATCGTCACCGTCATCGTCACCGTCATCGTCACCGTCATCGTCACCGTCATCATCACCGTCATCATCACCGTCATCATCACCGTCATCATCACCGTCATCATCACCGTCATCATCACCGTCATCATCACCGTCATCATCACCGTCATCATCACCGTCATCACCACCGTCATCACCACCGTCATCACCACCGTCATCACCACCGTCATCACCACCGTCATCACCACCGTCATCACCACCGTCATCACCACCGTCATCACCACCGTCATCACCACCGTCGCCGCCACCGCCACCGCCGCCGCCACCGCCACCACCACCACCACCACCACCACCACCATCATCATCATCATCATCATCATTAATAAGCGTAAAAGGATATTCAATATCAACAATATAGGCAGTCATGCGTGAAACTGGAAGTGTGTCTTGCCAGGGAAGCTATTAATGCCTAACACTGTGTGTATGGTGGACATGTGTACAGTAAGATCCTGTGCATATATGTAGACATCCATAAACTACATAAATCTATTTTGATTAGTGACTATATTAAACTAGTTTGAATGTTGCATGTGATTATATGCTGGTAATCAAATTACCATATTTTCTATTTAAATGTTTGTTGTATTTATACAAAAAAATCTGTACATATTTTTGAACAATGTCCGTTGGAGTATGACTTTGACCCCATCACACAACTTACAGGTGCTCCAGGGGCATCTTAAAGCTGCATCACTTCGAAGTGAAGACCAATATAGAAGATCTATGCAGTGTGTTGGCAAAACAGACTTTGTTTTTGAAAAACACTATATATTTATTTATTACTTATCAGAAGATAAGTAATAAATAAATATATAGTGTTTTTCTAGTTTCTACCTAAAGATATTGCTTTTATAGTTTGCTTTTATATGATGCATGAGTATGATCTGTTTGTGTAGTCAATCCCTAGAAAAACAAACCTTTGGTAACTAGACTGGATAGGTATTCTATAATCAATATGTCACATACTTTTTTTGACTGGTGTGCAGCAATAACTTCTTCTTTATTTGGTATTGGTATTGGTGCACTATTCTTTGGAATGTTGCTTTGGGAATATAATTCTTGTAGGCTTTTTCCAAATCAAACTTAGATACATTGTCCATCAGCTGTTGCACAAAAGC